TACTACTGTAGCACTAAATTAGGGTCATCATCCTGCTCACCTTGTTAAATGTGGCAAAAGATAGAACATAACTGCATTGGTTGTTAATAATTGATTTTGTTGTTGTTTGTTTAAATTGGTTTAGCACTAGCTGTTGCTGGTACAAAGGGAAGAGCACAATGTGTGCAGCATTTCTATTTATGTTTTTTGGGGAAACTGAAGATGTAACTAGAACACCTTTGATAAATGATCAGCAATTCAGGGACCTGAAGTGGCATCACCATACCTTATCCTCCTTTCCCAGCAGTTTCTCACTTGCAGTTTGCTGCTAAATGCAGCTTTCCCATCTTGTGTTCATACAGTAATATAGTGATGACCCATTTGAATGTGTCTTGTGCTCTTTGCTGGTGGTAGAAAAAGCAGTTTTGGACCTGTAAAGAAATACAGAGTGACATCACTGGAAACATAGCCAGATAGGCACACCACTGCACCCTACAGGCGAAAGGCATGAGCAAAGGTGGAGAGAAGTAGGTCACAGGGAGGGAGATGGAGGGTGGCAGTTCAGTGGGTGGGTGCACTGGTGGTGTCTAAATAGAAACAGTTGCAAGATAATAGTTGGGAGGGGAAACGAGAAGTAGATGGAGTGGGGATAGAAAAGAGAGTGCTTCAGTTCACCTAAACCGGCTCAGTTTGCACAAGTGTGACAGATAAATGAAATGTGCAAGAAATAAGAACCTCCATTCTCATAGTCTGCTTTTAAATAGTATGTGTTATCTGTCCAAATGCCAGGGAGACAGCCTGCTCTCAGGACTGTTGTGCTGAGATAAGAATCAGGGTGTGTGTAGCACTGTGCTTGAACATGGTGACAATGAAGTGAAATGTCACTGTCACTGCAGGTATCAAGCTCAAAGTAAAGCTTGAATTGTTATAGCCTGTCTATACTGTAAAGGGCTGCCACAAGTAACCATTATGCACAGATGTTGTGTCTGGAGTCTCAAAAACAGACCATGGTCCTTACCTGGATCCCTGTGTATCTTCTTCTTCTTTCGGCTGTTCCCGTCAGGGGTTGCCACAGCAAATCATAATTTCCACCTAACTCTATCCTCTGCATCCTCTACTCTCACCCCAATTAACTTCATGTCCTCTTTTAGCGCATCCATATATCTCCTCTTTGGCCTTCCTCTTGACCTCTTGCCTGGCAACTCCATCTCCAACATCCTTCTACCAATATAACCACTATCCCTCCGCTGTACATGTCCAACCCATCTCAATCTGGCCTCTCTGACCTTGTCCCCCAAAACAGCCGACCTGAGCTGTCCCTCTGATGTGCTTATTCCTAATCCTGTCCATCCTGGTCACTCCTAAACAGAACCTCAACATCCTCATCTCTGCTACCTCCATCCAACCTGCCTGCACTTGCCTCTTCACCTCTTTCCTACAGTCCCCATCACACTGGACTGTTGACCCCAAATACTTAAACTCCTGCACCTTCTTGACCTCAGGCCCCTGTAACCTCACTGTTCCACTTCCCTCCCTCTCGTTCATACACATGTATTCTGTCTTACCACGACTGACTTTCATTCCTCTTCTTTCTAGAGCAGACCTCCACCTTTCCAGGTGTTCCTCCACCTGCTCTCTGCTCTCACTACAGATCACAATGTCATCCGCAAACATCATTGTCCAGGGAGATTCCTGTCTGACCTCATCTGTCAACCTGTCCATCACCATAGCAAACAAGAAGGGACTCAAAGCCAATCCTTGATGTAGCCCCACCTCCACCTTGAACTCCTCTGTCTGACCTACAGCACATCTCACTACTGTCATACTCCTCTCATACATATCCTGAACCACTCTGACGTACTTCTCTGCCACTCCTGACATCCTCATACAGTACCATAGAGTGCCAAGAGAGGAGCTGTCGTATGCTTTCTCTAAATCCACAAAGACACAATGTAGCTCCTTCCGACCATCTCTATACTTCTCCATTAACATTCTCAGAGCAAAAATTGCATCAGTAGTGCTCTTTCTGGGCATGAAGCCATACTGCTGCTCACAAATACTGTGTGTAATAAAGGTGTATGTATTTTTGTGACTACTGTTCTTGAACAAGGAAGCTGAGAATAGTTTAGAAGTGGAGCAGAGGTGAGGTGCTTGGATAGGGGCAGCATATGGCAGGCAAAGGAGCACTGTGTTTAAGTGAACAGTAGATGGTGCCAACTGCATGTGCCATTTTGGGTTCTTGTGGGGAAGTAGCCAGTATTTAACTAACATACTGTATATTCTTTTTTTTCTATAAAACAAACACCTAAAATATTCAAGTTGTCTAGACTGTCTCCCATCAACATGCAATATAATCAGGTGCCTCTTAAATTCAGGATAGCAAATTTCCAGGTTGAGAAAAGACTGAAGTTTACTGATAAAAGTGTAGCGTTTAGTAAGATGAACATAGTAACATTTCACTTTACCAGGACCAAAAAAGAAAAAAGTTAAAACTATAATTATGTTGGTCTCTGAAACCAAGTTCCTGAAGTTAAATTCCTGAGATTTTTGAAATACCTTAACGAAAGTTTGAACAGTGCTATATATCAAAGTTTCAAATGTGTAACATGCATGTGCACAGTATCACACATTTGCCTTCTGTCAGTTCTGCAGAATTTGTGCATGATTTGAAAAGCCATTCATGTGCCCATACTGAATCTAAGGACGTGTTGACCTTCACTGGCTGTCACATCTGGACTCAGAATGTATGGTGCCACATTACTATTCTCCACAGGTTGTGTGGTCATGTGATCACATTTGCCTGTGCACTTGCAGTAGTTAATTTATGTGCTGGGCTTAGCATCAGGGTTCTCTGTGCAGTTCAGTCAGGCAGAGTACTTTTGTTACTGCTCATCCTCGTCTCCCTCTTCTCTTTTCCAGTGGATCATCTTGTCGCTGTTCATTCTTCTTCCTTCTCATCCCGCTTGTTGGCTGTGGTGAGTACAGGGGATCCATGGAGACGGCTGTAAATGGCTGAGGAGCTGTGTACTGGCTGGTTTCGCATTGTTGCAGGTACAGCAGGTAAAACAATTCCCTTTTACAGCACTCCTTCCTCATCAGAGAGAATGTGGATTGTCAGTGAAGATGAGGCATATAGTTAATAGTTTTTTTTGCATTTATGTTGTTTGGGGAATTTTCCTTAGACCATCTGATCTCTGTGATGAAATAGGTTTTGCTACAGTAGTAATTGTGTGTGCTTGTAGCTGTGTGTAAAGATGTAGCCATTCAACCTTCACTTAGTTGTATAATACTGCAATAACATTTGGATGTTTGTGTGTTTATGTATTTATGTGTACACTGTGTGTATGCATGTTCACTGTGCACTCTCAGATGGTGAATCGGGACACTCTGGCACTGACATTTAGAGAGAAGGGCAGACAGAAGTATTAAAGGAGGGAGGACTAGACAGAAAACTAGAAAGATAAGGAGAAGATGGATTTATTCACATCATTCAAACTACTTGGTTTGTTTACCCTGTCTTACTTATCTCTTGTGCTCATTCATTGGCTTTTTATTCTTCCATGTAGCTCTGTGTCTCTCAGAGTATAGGATATTCAATAGCAAAGCATATTCATCCAAATCAACATGTAATATCACACATTAAATTCAGTGGCCTGCAGTGTAACATACAATTTGTGTCTCTTCTGCTCTGCTATTCTCACCCTCTTGTCCATTCCTCAAGATTGTCTGTTCTTCTCCATAGTAAATGGCATAAGTGCATGTCTTTATTCAAGGTGCTTCACTCTTGCAGCTCCAACACAGAGCTTATAGGGCATTAGGCTTTATTTAGCAAATCTCCTCCCTTCCTCCTCCCTTATTCTGCACTTGTCCACTAGCAGGCATAGCAGCAGTATTCAGCTGCATAATCTCTACACATACTGTTGTATTTGGACAACTAAATGGCCCAATATTAGCCTAGTTATAATAGACATGCCCAGTCTATTGATATTTGTAAAACTATTGCTAGTGTTACAGTACCTTGGATGAGCAAATATTCACGTTTTTTTGCCTCCCCAGCAGTGAGGCCTTCAAACCAGCACTATGGTGAGCATCTGCCATGATTCTTGGTGAACACTAGATGGCAGTGCAGTAGAACATGCTGGTTGTCTCTTAGTAAGGGAAATCAGGAGGTAGTGTGGTAATGTAGAGGAAAATGGGAGGCAGGTGGTGGGAAATAGAGATGTAGAGGAAAAAGAAATCATAAGGTAGATGTGGGGAAAAAAAGGGTAGACAGTTTAGCAGAAAATTTCAAAAAGGGGCAAGAACAGAAAAGTCACTAAACACAGTTTTGGAGCGAGGTTGGAGAAGGAATAACAAGAGCAGGGGCTTAAAGCTGGGGGCAGGGTTGGAGGGTGGCTGCCATCTCTTTGGGAGCATCTGCTGGGTGTTAAGACAGAGGAAGACAGGAGGATGAAACGAGGGAGGAGACGAGTGAGCCACATGGAAACAGCTTGACAAAAATAACAGGGTGAAAATGAGAAAAGGGGGGAATTGTCAAAGAGAAAGGAAGAAGTGATTAATGTGAGACAGAGCAAGAAAGGGAGGGAGTCATCATCACATGGGCTTAACCAAGACTTCGTAGGATTTAGTGGGCCTGAGCAGTACTGTCTCTGTTTAAAGCATGACTATAGCTAGATAGAGGGGAGAAGAAATACTTGTTTGACCATCTGGAGGAAATTAGTTACCACAGACTATTGAATACCCCATAAATACACACTACTATATATACAGTTGATACAATTTCCATAGAAGGCATCAGCTATCTTAAAATATAGAAAGAAATACACAACAAAAGAGAAAAATACAGAGATTGGTAGCTTTTAAAAGGGTTTACAAGTACTGACATTTTATTGTCTTAATATGTTCACTTACAGATTTCTCCCAAGTTTTTATGTGACATAGTGGGTAATAGAAAAAAAGGCACAATTGTCAGAAAGTGGTTAAAAATGATACAAAGTTATGATCTATGGAAATTGTTAGTTTCATTATAAAAAAAAAACTATTTTTTTTTTTGTTTGTTTGCTTGTTTGTTTTCTTGCTGTAAGTATAAATATCTGCATATAAATGCAGATATTTATACTTACATGCTTTCATTTTGCTTTATTTTTATTTAATATAATCTTTATTTATTCATTGTCTTTCTGAATGTTTAGTTTGTTTGACTGAAAAATAATTTTAATATTAGTAATATTCATTTAATAGAATTAATAGAAAAGATATATATCGATTGTTTGTATTAAATCGAAAATACAAAATGCTTAAATTAATGTAGCTTTGTCATATGTACTGTACATCATGGATTACTGTGTGAGCTGCTACTACTACAACTAACTAAAAATAATAATCCTAGCACTAATCCCTGGGTCATTCAGTATCACTCTGGTCTTTCATTTGTTTTTTGCAGGTTTGCCTCATTGTCATTCTCCTCTGCTCTTTGGTTTGTCCATAAAAACAGTCACCACCTCTCCCCCCTTCTTTCTGTCTCTCACTCTCCACCCTCTCATAGAAAATTAATCAGCACATAAATGCAAGCGCACACCCCTCTACAAGGTCTGGTCTGTCATTGGCCTTTCCTGCTGGTGGGTTGCAGCTGTAGCCTTCACTGCCATGATGTCACACTGATCAATACTGGTTCCAGTGCAATGGGGAAACACAGAGACTGAAAAAGACTAGGGAGTGAGACAGGCTGTCAGAGAGGAGTGTGAGTAGGAGGGAGTGGTGAAAGGAAGAGAGAGAGGACAGAGTGAAATCAGTGAAAGACCAAGGAGGGTGGGACACAGGCAGACACTACAGTAATAGTCATTATGCAGCGATTGTAGAGCAAATATTTTGTGCACTGTGTGTTTATATAGAGTCTGAGCGTGTGTATTCTCAGCATGGCTTGTCATTTGGCTCACACCTGCACATTATTCTCTCCATGAGCAAATAATTAATATCGTTCACTGCTGGGCAGCCTCGGCACACTGCACTGACAAGGTAGGGTGAAGGGGAGGGTTCATGTGCTAGTATGTGTGTGTATTTACTATATTTGTGTACCCTTTATATTTACTCTGTTCATGTCTTGGCTTTTTCAGTACCTCTGTTTGGATGTATAAATGTGTGTATTCAGTGTAGGCACAGTTATTTGCAAAGCCCAGAGGTTCTTAATGTAGAGTTGGGCCAGTGTCAGGAGATTCAAGCTGTAAGGCATGTGACTCCACAGAGGGCTATAGGGATAGGCTTAGGCCATCGGTGACCTCAGCAAAGGGCTCCGCCCCTCCTAAACTCCCGCCCCCCTTCCCAGACACACATACACCCACAGCCCTCCCTTCCTCTCAGTCTCTCTGCCTCGCTCTGTCTCTCTCTACCCTGCCTCTTTTATTTATTTTTTTCCTCCAGTTAGCTTTCACCCCACCTCTGAGCATCCTTCGCTATGTTGGTTAGAGCCTCAGCAGCAGCAGCAGCAGTAGCAGTAGCAGCATCCATGGCTTAAGCTCCTGCTCTGATCGAGAGCTAGACCAGCCAGGCTCCTACCCCACCTCTCTCCTCTCTCTGCCTCTATCAGTATCTCTCGCTCCTGGGCTTGTTGACAGGCGACGTCTGGGGGTGTCAGAGGCTCACGGTTAGCCAGGGCGTTAGCCACACGCACACGGTTGCTCAGCTGCCCATCAGCTCTGCTGTGTCTCTCTGGTAATCGGAGGCTTCTTCGCATCCCCCCCTTCTAACACCTCCTGCTTTCATTTCAGGCTCCTTGGAGATAGAGGAATGCAAATCTGCAACCATGATGGAAGGTAAGATGGTTTTTAATTACTATTATGCTGCCCACTTTTCTATTATAATTCAGTGTTAATCATTTTATTAAGTCCTTATCCTAAATGCTTCATATGCAGATAGATGTGTGCATGTGTTTGGGTCTGGGAGGTTCAAATGTCATATGCTGCCTGACTATTTGGAGTACATACATTATGGTGACTTGCATATAATTCTTAAGAAGAGAGCACAGCCACTCATTTTGTAACCACAGAGGCACAATGGCGAGGCTAACTGAAACGCGTATATCTTTGTGTGTGTGTGTACCTTTGTGAATGTGTGTGCACATGTCTGAGTACCCCACACTCCCCCTTTTCCCGCTTCACGTCGTAAAGGATTATTTGGATTTACTGTGCAGGAGGTGCCCAGCTGGCTCGCTTGTTAGATTCATTCAGTGCCATATGACTCTGCTGTGTACCTGGTCACACCACATTGCTATCTTTACCCAGCACTGGCATGTGGATTGCACCTCTGTATGGGTGGGTACCTGCGTAATTTTATACTCATCCATCTCTGCTGGGTCAAGTGTAGTGAGAGAACCGATTTTGATAAAGAAGAAAATTGACGATTGTTTTAGTGTCATGTCCCTTTAAATGATGACATCATCAGGGGAAGGCCAGTGATGGAGGGATGAATCTCTACAGCTTTGCAGCTGGCATGCCAAAGCCTCCATCCATCCATATTATATCTTCTATATATATTTCTTAATGTTCATATTGTTCAGGCTTCCAGTATTTAGCTACAATACCAGTGATCTTTTACTTGACGAGCAATCTAAACATGTTGACTTTTTTTTTTTAAACAACCTTCAGTTATGTAAGATTTGACACCCCCCTGCAGTTAGATACTTATCCTTACAGTACAAGTATTTTTTTCCATGTTTCAAAAAAGCTAGACAATGTTGTCATTCAAGCCTGTTTATTCTGCTGCATTTAGTAAATGAACTCGTTGCCTGTGTGTCTGCTGCTAAGGAAGACTCTCATTAGCTGGTTGTCTGGTTGTGCTGGTGTTAGTTTGTGTCCATCTTTGTTTAGACATGAATGTTTACATGCATGTTGTTTATGTGCTGTGGTGTTTCGATGATTTCACACCACAAAATGAATCACGTTTAACAGTGGCCAGATCTTTTAACATTAGGACTGGATTTGAAGGTTGGATAGGTACATGTGTAGTGTCAACTTAAAAATTGTTGGCATTTGCCAGTGGTTTGAAATTGTAACTTTTCAGCTCTAATTTTCAGCCATGTTTAATCCACTGTCACTCCAAGTGTGACGCATATTTCTGTACAGGTACAGTGGAAGATCCTGTTATTTTTGTTTAGTTAACATTTAATTGAAGTGGCAGTGATGATATTGTGCATTGTCATGATAACAATAAAAAAAATCCGTCTAATCCTGTAATTGAAACGTTATTGTTCAAGAACACTGGAAATTTGGTTTCCAGAAAGGGTAATGCAGTCCACGAAAACACACACAAAAAAGTAACAACAAAATGAAGTAAAACACTAAATGGATTGCATGTTCCATACATCTAAACAGAACCTTTACATTAGCACATATAGCACAATGAAAACTGCTTAAAAAGTGCTTTATAACAGTAGAATGAATTGAATTGAAAAGCTTATATGACAAAAATGGCATTATAGATATGAGCACCCAAAAAAACCACGATTAGCTTCTTATTTGTAGGAAACCACAATTTGGCTCACTTTCATGTGCCTTTTTATTTTATTATCTACCCATGCATGTTAAATAACTAAAGGTCTGTGATTGCTGCCCTGCTGTCAGAGGTCAGAGTCTAAATCTAAACTGAATGAAGTACATGTTAATCAGTTGGGGTAGCTGATACAATGGCTTTTTCTCGTTGTGTCATAACAGTGTGTTAAACTACCGTGTTACTGTATTATGAAGAAGACAATGGTTGACCTAAATGTCTGGAATTCTAACAGCATGGACTGTGTGAGGGCAGGATTACAGTAAAGTGTTAAAATTGGATGCTAATCCTTGTTAGCTCTGCTTTGTAAAATGAGGATTACAATGAAACAGATTCTCTCTATTAAAACCAAAATTAAGGGTTGGGTTCAGGCACAAATATGCTGCAAATGTCCTGGGTTTACTGCATCTGAAGTTGTTGTGTTATTGTTATTGCTAGGCAAATGTCATTTTAAGTAACAAGTCTTCTACAGTACATGGTTTTCTGTACTCATGAGGGCTTGCATTTGGGTGGTTGTTGTTTGACCAGTGATTTTCTTATTTTTCCTCAAGGTAATTGTGTTGTGTAGCATGGGATTTCTGATCCAGGTGCAGTTTGAGGGAAGGAGCTGTAACATGGGGGTTCAGACATCATCAACATGATTGTGAAGTTTGATAATTCCACTTTTAACTGCATATGATCAGGATATCACTTATAAATGCGCAAGCTAGCATCAACAACCGGTAAACTTTATTGGCATGACCATGTTAGTTGGAGGATTTGTTTGCTGGCTTGTCCAGCCATCTTTCTCAGACACTTTGGTTCAGAGCAAAATGTGATATCTACTATCCTGACTGCCATGAAGTTTGGCATATTTATGGAAACCCTGATTAGTAACCTTTTTCAGATTTCATCTAGCTCCTTTGGTCAAACAGACATATTATCTTGAAAACCTGTGGGTTGGTTACCAGACAATTTGGTGTGAATATTCCTGGTCTCCAGTTGATTCATTTTAATGTTTTTAGTGGCATTCTAATGTCTTGTCTCTTGCGCTACCATCAAGTCAGAACCTCCCTTTGTACATGATAAAAATCAAAATCTAATGACATTTCCTCATGTTCCCTAGAGCCTAACTTCCTCTTCTTCCACCCCCAGGCCAAAATATAACTTTTTACACAAAATATCTCATAAACATATGTGTAGATGGTTATAAAATTTGTTAACCATATTCACTCTATGTTCCCAGTGGGAAATCCCCTTTGATTTTAGTGACCCCATGGAATTTCCTGTAGAACCACCAATAGGAAAACGTTAACACTGTAGTTCCAGTGCTGATAAGGCTCCAAGAATAGCAAAAGTAGCATGTTGTTGTCAGTAAGGCTTCAGTATCTTGTCAGAATGTTGTTGCCTTCATCCAACAGTTTTGCGGATTGAATGATTCTCTCATTTCCTCTAGCATGAATAAGACTTGTTCATTCAAGTTTTTTTTTAAAATCCTATCCACTAACAGAAGAAATCAGACTGTTCCAGAAGCCCAGTACTTAAAGCTCAGATCTTGGATCCGCCCTTGGCTGGAGTGCTTCAAAGTAAAGTACAGGGAGGAAGGACACTGGGCCATATGGTGGGCTACACCCTTATTCCTTTAATGCTCCGTTATGTGAAATTATGATTTTATAATTACGTGCTTTTGTTATTGTGGCCGATAATTTGGTTCTACTATGATGCAATTAAAAACAAATTAAGTTTTGAATTCCCTTTCTGTTTGAGCTCAACAAGATCATATCCAGTGACTCATCTTGAGAAAAGCATCTGAGCATAATATAATCTCTTTCAATTGAGTTCTGTGAGCTGCTCAGATCTCTGTGGAACAACCAATGCATGTGTTTATGTACTTGAACTACAGCTTTACATTACTCAACTTTGTCATAATAGTCTTGCATTTCTGTTGATAAAAATATCTAATACATTTTGAAAGATCTTAGTTTCAAAATATCCAGCTATTCATGTTATAGCAACATGACTGCATGAAGCATATACTGCATGAAGTATAAGGTATTGCTTTTTTTTTCTTTTTCTTTTTTTTAAGTGTGTTGAAGCCTGCTGACAAGCAAAAAATTTGGGATTGAGGGTAATGTATATTTTTCTCTTTCCAAGTCCAGTGTTGCAATAGGGTTGCGATTTCCCTGCCACACAGACTCACTAAAATGTCATTACTAATAGAGTTGAAGTCCTAATACTGTGTTGGATTGTGGGGTAATGTTATGTTCAGTCATGTCATGCAGTAATGACAAAAACGCTGACATTGTATTACCGCAAAACATATCAACCTATCACTTTGAAAACCACAGAGAAGGCTCAGTGATGTCAAATGGTTAGCCTTGCTTAATTTACAGTACCATCACGTCCAATAAGGTCTGTCTCTTACACAGGGAGACTCTGCTGCCATATGGTTTCCCAGGAAACAACCATGCATCTGACTCGTGTCTGTTTTGGTCATGAGCTGGGCAGAGGCAACCAAATGCAAATTTTGTGTATATGGTGTGCTAGGATGGGAACAAAAATATAAACGATGGCGGCCAGTGGTGCACCAAGCCTGTATTGTTGAGGAAATTCTTAATAATCTTGAAACCTTTTCTGCATGAACTGCTGCATTGCTCCCTGTCACTGATCCAAATGAGTAATTTAATATTTTGCACACACAAGTCACGTGGGCTGATGCATCGGAAACAGCCCTTAGTAACCTAGGAGAGAGTTTATGATGATATGAAACAGAGCAGCATACCGTCTGTGAATGCAGAATTGTATCTACCAGCCGTCCCTCACGATTGGTGCCATTCATTTTACATACTGAGTCATAGGTTGAGTTTGTTTTTCTCCCATCTATGGCCCCCCATAGATGCTATAGTACAAGATTATCCATCTGTTTTTCATTACAAATAAAAGCTTGTACACATCTGCACACAGGTTAGATTGTTGGAGTCCCCTGTGTTGCAGTGATTAATACAGTCCATTTCATTTATTCAGCCACCAGACTGACTGAGATGTGAAATTACAGAGACAAAAAGTGACAAAACTATAGCATGCTGAAAGCAGTTGTATCCCTAGAGCACAGACAAGGCGGTATGTAACTGATTTAATAACATGTTATTGTAGTATGTGTGTGTCCAAATAATAGCTGTGTACATTGGCATGTTGCCTCAAATCATGACTGTAATACCAATGAAGATAGTGTTTTCCTTTTATCAGATAAACTAGTTTAATTGCAACCTGTCAAAATATATTTAGGTAA